CAACTCTGGTAACGCTGCCCTCTCATTCATTGATCTGCTAACCGCTATGTTATGCTTGCGTGTTCTGATAATAATAGCTTTCTAGGACTAAACATTATTTGGATAATTGGTAAAAAAAAAAAAAAAAAAGGAAAAAAAAGTTAAATAACTCTACTGTTAGACCTACCTGAAAAACTAAAAAGCAATTTCTCAAATATTGAGACAAAATTAATTTTGTAGGGTGCCACAAATTTGTTAAAATTTCCAAAGGGTGCCGCGACTAAAAAAAGGTTGGGAAACACTGCTCTACGGACACAAACATCCAAAAGTACTGTTAAAGGATAATTTACATTTTCAATTGTCAAATGTGTGTGAATTTGGACTATTGTTTAAAACTAAAGATCAGCTTTTAATTCTATACATTTTTTCATGTTTATGCTAAAGTCACTGAGAACAGATATTAGCCAAATTTCTGATATATGCAGAAGGTCTGAGACAAGCTTGAAACTTTGAGTTGCTTCCAGGAACTGGAAGGTCAAGGATATTAAACAGCTCTGGAATGCAGATGGAGAGAAATGGGAACAAATACCAGCTGGAGCTGGTTTGCTTTTGATTTTGTAGTCTAGACTGAGTAAAAATGCACTAATAATATTTTATAATAATTATAAAAACATGCATCTACTTAGTACAAGGGTGTTATTGTAAGCAAAGATAAGGCCTGAACATAAAGACGTCTTGCTAATGCATTATTTTGACATTTACATATGTGTGTGATAAGTAAGGGTCAATCGATAACACAATCGATTGTGGTTATACAGGAGTCGGGCTTTTAGGGTTTTTAGCAACCAGCTTTACTTCCATAAGAAAATGTCTTTCCAAGTGAAACAGGATATTCAATGAGAAAAACTACAAGGTGGGACTTTATTCATGGGGAGTACAGTGGATATCGAAATTAGAGAACAACCTACAATTTCAAGGTCACAGCTTAGCCTATTTGAAATTATCCTAATAGGAGTAGAAGGGCAGTTTAAGCATATTTCATAAATTTATTTGTATAAAAACAGTATAAAAAACCTAAATGAGATATATGAAAAATAACACTGATCAAAATTAAAGAACACTTACAGATACCTCCAAGTTATTGGTGTTAATCTGGCGACTTGTGCTAATTTCCTTAATTATTTGACAAACCCTGTTTAACTGGCAACACCCCTATTTATCCCAGAGTGCGTAAAGTCAGTGAAAGGTGGAGGAAGTGTCATGGTTTGGGGGATGTGCAAACAGTCGTTTGCACGTGTTTTGAGCAGCATGCACCCCAAATCATGAGCCGCATGCACCCCAAAATGAAATTACTTAATCGACCATCGATAGCTTTAATCAATCACATCTCTTAACGTCAATTAATCAATCACTGATTAATTGTTGACATCCCTATTCTAAACCCAACTGAAAATCTCTGAAAAATCCTTGCCAACAAAGTTATGGCTAAGAAACCCACTACAGTTACCGAAATATGGAAAAGACTGGAAGAGTGGGCCAAGATCACACCAGCACAGTGTGAGAAACTAGTGATGTCCTGCGGCCGCAGATGTGCTGAAGTCATTCAAAGCAGGGGCCTCTAAACTTCCTACTAATTTCTGACAGATGTAACCCTCCAAAATTTTTGTTGTAATCTTCTTTCATGCTACAGTGGTTACTGTTCTCTAATTTTGATCAGTGTTCTCCACAAAATAAAGGTTTTTGTTGAAATGCCTTGGTTATTTTGTCAAACATGTTAGTATAACAGTGTTTTTGAGCGATGAAGATTAACAATATGTCAGAAAACAAGTATTTATAGATTGTTCTCTAATTTTGATCTCTACTGTAGATTGGATGTTGTATGACAGAAGACAACTGACTTACTCATGTCCTGAAACGCCATAACCTCAAATGGCTCCTTTAGCACAGTCTGAAAGAAAAAGAAAAAGAAAAAGAAAAAAAAAAAGACAAGAACGTGTAATTAAAAAGTACTAGCGTGAGACTTAAAATCTTTAGAGTACATCAGCATTTAGTCTTTCACCTTGATTTGACCTCTTCCCTCAGCTTTTTCCACTTCAGCAGCAGCAGCTTTAATTTCTTTCCTGATGGCTGGATCTTTAAGTGCAGCCTCTTCCTCATGGGGAACCTTGTCTTTGTGGTTCTGCTTCTGTATTCCAAAAAACAACAAGGTGGCTGTGTATTATATCAAAAGCATAGACAGAGATAATCTGTGATATCAGGAAAACTTGTGATTATGAAAATCATACCAAGTATTTGAAGCTGTGCTTCCAGCCAGTGATGTGAGCAGCCATTTCATTCTGCAGCCGCTGAACTTTACACAGTTTACACTGGTAATGGGGTGGAACCGACTTAGATGGGCTTCTATACTCCCATATGTACTGTAGGCCTATGAACACAAAGCACATGTGTATTCAAACATAAGATCATTCAAAAATCAGCCAAAGCATATAGAAGCTATTTGAGGGAGCAAAATAATTATAAAAATTATACAATTTAAAACATCACAAAAATGAACAGGGATGAGAGAGTTTAAACATTTGATGCATTTTTATTAAACAATTTACAAAATTAAATAAAATGCAGTGATCATCAGTATTTATCTAAACATTTATTTTGGATGTTTGTGAACACTGTTGATTAAAGAGGCCCTATTATGCCATTTTGAATATTGCCTTTCATGAAGTGTGTACTGTAGCTGTATATGAATATAAACGATCTGCAAAGTTGTAAAGCCGAAAGTCTCCCAAAAGAAAGAATTGACTCTGAACAACCAAAACGAGTCTTCAGCAATTCGAATCCTACTTCTGTGACGGCTACACATCATGGGGTAAAAGAATCAGTGGTTAAAATTAATTTTTTTTCTACTGTACCACAGCAGTACAACCCCAATCTTTTTTGTGTTCCAGTCATTTTACTGATGACTGCTTCTTTAATCTCGGGGAGTTCAACACAGGATTCACAAAACGCTTGCTCTTGACCAGTTTATTTGGACCAGCTGGCTCCACTGAATCACAACCTGTAAGTACGATTAATAATTGATGTTTATATTTTCTACTGAGCGTTCAAAATACGGAACTATTGCAATGGGCATATCGTTTCCGTCACGCGCTGTAGGCAGTAGACCAATCAGAACAGACTGGGTCATCTGACCAATCAGAGCAGAGTAGGCTCATGGAAAGGATGGGTTTAGATTTAGGATGGGTTTGAGACTGAACCTTAGAACTGCTTCGAACAAATCGTTGAAAAATGAGGTGATATTAAATGCATATTTTGAGTTTTTTTGACCTTGCATGCATGTAAACCTATTGTAGGAGACTCCCAAAAAAACATTAGGAACTTTAAAAATGGCATAACAGGGGTACTTTAATTTAAGTCATGAATAATTTATTTCATTAGAGTAAGGGACCAATAAAAGTGTGATGCCTTATTTTAAGCCTATTAGCCTACATTTATATAGTGGTAACAAAATATACATCATTACTCACCAATAACAGCATCAGTGACTGATTTGAGCTTTTTGTTCAGACAGGGTATAGTCTGGATGGATCCATTCTTGGAGGTGAAGACTGATGAAACGCACATGAATCAGTAAAATCAAAAAGGACATGGACAAGCATTGTGAACCTGGACTTAAAGCACAGATGACAGTGTTCCCACTCTACTGAAACAGTACCAAGTGGTTACTGCACCACAAAAACAAAACTAGCTGAGTGCTTAAAGCACCCATTCAGTTACCCCCAGGCCTATGGGCAACAGTCACACTTGATGGAAAATTGTGGTCAGACAAGTGAGCCACAACTCTCTGCACTTAAACGCTGAACAACATATACAAACTCAACAGATTTGAATGAATGCAGTGACGCCTGCTGTTTTTCTGTCCACAAATCCAGTACGAAGACAAAAGCACACTGGTTGAGATGTCAGCCGATCACACTGCAGCAGTGTAACTGTTCTAACTGAGTTCGAGCCTAAAGGCACCTGAAATAATGCATTTCACGTGAACTTTTCTTAGGCAGCTTAATGCATGCCCTGCACAAGGTGGCACAATTAATATGGTTAGATGACCCTAAGCGGACATACAGGGATAAAAGGTGGAATACCCAACCTCCTAATATTCATGGATCTTGACCTGACGTTAAAGCACATGGCGAGAGCAGGTCATGATTTTTCGAATGTTGCTCGAAGGAGCTCAGTGTTGATGTTTCTAATGTTGTTCAGCATACCGCAGATTAAATAGTGCAAAGCATTGGTCTGAAAAAGGTGCTAGTTTGAGAGCTGTGCTTGTGTGTTGTGTTCAGGGTTGAAGCTCTGAAACACCCAAAAGTGGCACATGGCAATAACATTACCAAGGCCAGGCACAGCTGAAGGGCAGAACTGAAGGGTTCTGAGGTTCTGACACTTACCTATGTCACCACCGAAGAGCTGCTGCTTTTTCTGTCACAGACGACAAATAAAATCGTTGGTGGGGGAGAGAAACAGAGAGGAATTAGAGAGATATAACAGCACCCGAGCTGAAGAGCAGAGTTCACTCTCCTCCTCCTCCTCCACATAAATTCTCCTCTCCACTTCAAAAGTAGAGGGTGAAAGTCCTTGGACAGGAGGACACAAAGTGTCTCTTCACCAGACACTCTCATGCTAGAAGAACAATTGTTCTTTATTAATCTCCCCAAGAATAAAGTTCTATCAAGCAGACAAGAGAATATACGGGATGATAGAGTAACATGTTCTGCAAGTTACATTCTGTTTTCAAACAGAATGCTTATTTTTTCACTTTTAATTCTTATCTGTCTTTTACAGGTCAAATGCAGCTCTGTGTCAGGTCATTGACAGACTATGGACATGAATAAAGAGTACCTTTCGAAAGTTCGGGGTCGGTTGCTTTTTTTTAATTTTTATAAAAAACACAGCATAAACAGTAATATTGTGAAATATAAATCACAATTAAAAATAACTTTTCTATTTTAATATATTTTAAAATGTAATTTATTCTTGTGATGGCGAAGCTAAATTTTTAACAGTTATTACTTCAGTCTTCAGTGTCACATAATCCTTCAAATTCATTCTAATATGTTGATTTGGTCAAGAAACATTTCTTATCAATGTTGAATTTTTTTTTTGTGTAAACGGTGATATTTTTCAGGATTCTCTGATAATTAAATGGTTTAAAAGAACAGTGTTTATTCGATGACAAAATATTTTGTAACATTATAAATGTCTTTACTGCTACTTTTAATCAATGTAATGCATCCTTGCTGAATAAAACCATTCATTTCTTTAAAAAAATAAATAAGTGAATTTAAAAAAATATTACTAACCCTTAACTTTTGAAAGTTAGTGTACATTTAAGCCACTTTTGGAAAATACATAGGCCTAGTCTTCTATACAAGGTCTGCAATGAATATGTGTTGACCACTTAACTATTTCCCTTAATTAATACTCTCATAGTTATGTAATTATTTTGGTTTCAGATACCACATGATCCTGCAAATACTCTTAACCCTCACAGACATCAGGGCAGAGATTAATACTATTTTAGTATTAATCTTTTAGAGACTAACTATTTGAGGCATGATAAATGTCATACGTCTCCAACACTATGCCAACTACAGTTGGTCACAGTGTGATCACCGCTTTATCGGCTCATTTTGCTGGAAGATCTGTATACTAACAGATGATTGATGAAGCGGACTACAATATGCAAAAAAGGGGGGATTCCTTTTAATAAAACTGTAGCCCGTCAAACAGACAGTTTGCAGCACTCTGTCAAACTGAGCTTCATGGCATAACAGTTATGGGTGATACAGGTGGGTGAAATCATTCAACCACTAAGTACATCAAAACAATTATAATCAGTTTTAGGTAGAGTACAAATGACCAAAATTCATTATACCCTATATCTACTTTTAGTGGCCTAAATGAGCTGACAGTGCATTAGCTAGTTGGACCAAACACTTGCATATGCTGACATAAAAATGTCAGTTGTGTTATTGAAGTGAGACAATAAAGTGATTAGAAATAAAGTCGCAATGAAACAGAATTAGCATCAGATCTTTTCTTACATTTTGTGTGACGTATATCCAAGTGTTATGGATCATCAAAAAAAGAAATAAATGTGAGGACTTGGTTCTATGCATTGGTTGTTGATTGGATTTGGAAATGTGGGCACTCAACAATGGAGGCAGATAAATGTAAGTGTGCAGGTGCAGAGTTTAAGCGGACTAAATGATTGGAAAAGTCCTGCATATGTGACCAGAGAGAAGTCTGTCATTCGTTTCACCAGCAAATTGAGTTATATTTTGTTAAATGAAAGTATGTGTAGAATTTGTTTTGCAAAAAAAAAAAAAAAAAGTTACTTTTAATTAAAAATGACCAGGTCAAAAAACGTGCGTAGATGAATCGTTTGCAATGATACCGAATAACATGCATTTACAAATTCGACAAGGTGAATTTTCATTTCACCCAGAATTTTAACTGACATTTTCATGGACCAGCAGCGGACTGAGTGACCACTGTTTGGGAAGTATTGCACGTCTGCAAATGGTCTACATCCACGTGGTAAGGTAGGGATAAAGCTAATGGAGTGGCTCTGATTTGATGTGGTGCTATTAGGGCTCACCTTCCCACCGGCCCTGCCCTTCTTATTAGGATTTGGTTGAGCTTCCATACTGCAAAAGACAAACACACATTACATTATTTTGATTATTGCTGCAATTAAAAAAATACATTCAAAAGGAGGGTAGGAGTAATTCGTGTGTAACTAATATGCCGTTTCGGCTGTAAGAGAAAGTAAATGATGGCGACTCTGGTTCATTACAAAGATCACGCTTTCACGCTGCATTATGCGCAGCTACATTTAAACTCGCTCGCCTCTACTAACATGAAGTGAGGTCTCTCTATTCACTACAACGCAACTATTTAAAGTCACGATAAATTATTTACCTGCTCGCGGTTGTTTGCACTAACGTTGTGTTGAGCAAAGGCTTGTTTGGTTTTGAAAATAGAAACACGACAAGAAACGGCCGAAATAAAACAGTCAAGACCGTAGTCCGTTTCCCGCCTATTTCCAAAATAAAAGTCCTAGGTATAATTATGAATGTATGCTAATTCATTTCTTTTAATAATTTACTCATACAGTAAATTATATTAAATCATTATTGTCGTTGATATTGTCTACTATTACATAAGTATGAAATTAATGGTGTTTATTAAACTGCCGGGACACATAAGTGAAGAGAGCTGGACTGAAACCACAATCAAAACCTTTATTTTGAAGCGAGCTTTGTTCGACTCCCAAAAAAAGACTGCCGCACAATCTTGATATGTGACTGTAATTTGCAGTATCTATATAGATATTTGAATTAAAATGATATATATTATAAGTGAATCGCTATCTGTATCTATTTAGCAAATATTATAATAATATAGTTGCTGTGTTAAATTTAATCAGGCACCAGTTTAGCCGGACTATTTTCTCAACAGAGGTTGATGGACCCCTAATGGCTCAAAAGCAGCACGAGTGATTATCTGTGGTGAGTGAAACAAACTTATCTTAAGTATTAGTTCGTATTTGTATTTAAGCTGAGTAAATGATTTTGTGCAATGGAGTTAATCGCTGATAATTATGGCTGCGTATAGCCACGCTTATGCAAACTGAAATAAACGTCAAATCAAACGTGTGTGTTTACAGCTTCTGTATACATACGTACATAAAACAGATCTGCTGTTGTAAATCATTAAATGAACTGATACATTTTAAACATTTGTGCTTGTGAAGTTCTAGTTAAACGTACAATTGATGCTGGAGAAAACTGTCAGGATCAAACATTGCCTATTTTGTTTGGTGAAATTTCACTTTTTCTTGCTTTTTTTATATCGATTTTATTTTGTGAATAACTTGTGAAATTATGAAGATGATTATGTTTATTATATATTCTAAAATGTACATTTTAATGTAATAATATGAAATGTGAAATCCATATTACTGGTCTTTTGTTTTTGTTCCAGTTCTTTTTTTTCTTTAACAGTTGAAGAATGAAAGCAAAAAAGCAAAAAAGGCAAGGTGATTTCCAGAAAGTTCAGCTCAAGGTTGGCAAAAAGAAGCCAAAAGCAGACAATGCAACAAACGTCAACTTCAGATCAAAAGCTATCCATTTACCAGAGCAGCTTAAGCATGTGGATTCAGGGCCAACAAAGCACAGGCAACTTGACATTATGGTACATAAAACACACAATGTCACAATTTCCACTGACCCTCATCTTTCTATGGTTCATTTTAGGGGTGTAAATAGACATCAATATTGATCAATGCATCAATCAAATGACTAACAGTGATGTATTAATGCAACATAATATTGTTAAGATGCATCTTTATTTTGACACACTTATGTTAGCCAGATCTGCATTGTCAGTTGCACAACTGAATTAGCTGGATACATAATTTGCAATTTTCAGAGAGTTGGATTAAGTATTAATGTTACATTTGTGAATTAAAAATGTAATGTTGTATAAAATAGGCACATATAGTAAAATTTGTGTCACTGACATTTTTTTTTTTAAATCACCCCTCCATTGTCTCTCACTCTCTCAGGATCTGTTGTCCAAGCTACACCACATCAACAGTAACATAAAGCAGGGAGCTCTGGTGGGTTTGCGGGAGTTGCTGTCAGCTCAACCTTCTATGATTGAGCTGCATGCATCAGCGGTACTATCTGAGGTGGCGGCACTCTTCACTGACAAAGACGGCTCTGTGCGAGCAGCTGCAGTGCGTCTGTTGCGTTTCATCACTCAGTGTATCCCCGCCGAACGGGTGGTTCCCTTCTTCCCCCTGCTCAGTGCTCACCTCACTTGTGCCATGACCCACATCTCAGAAGCCATCCAGGAAGATGCTCTCCGGGTCCTGGATGTGCTGCTGGAGCACTATCCTGGACTTCTCTCTCAGAGACATACGGTGCTTCTGACAAATTTTCTAGAACTAATTTCCCAAAAGCGAAAAGCTGCAACAGGGCAGGATAAATCTGGGAAAGGGGGCTTTGCTCTGACTATCAGTACAAATCGCTCTGTAACAGCACAGCAATGGAGACTCACTGTGCTGCTCAGGTATTGCATCCCAAAAAAATTTAAAATAAAATTTCTCCCCATTCTTTCTGTGTAGTTTGCCATGTTATTATTTATTAACAATTTGTGTATTCGTTCAGGTTGGGCAGTTTTCTGCAGGCAGTTGTTGAGGAAAGACCTCTGGATGAAGGTGTGACCAGCAGCATTGGCCTTGGAATGTGGGCTGGAGAGAAAGGCTCGGTGACATCTGTGGATGTGAGTTGGGAGGAGCATGTCTTTGGGAAGGGCAGGATCCAAGTGTTTGAAAATTCTGGAGCCGTTCCCACCCCACACTCTGCTTATCGGCTAAGGTATGTTTAATTGTTACAGTAAATTATTACAGTAAATTTCTCTTTCTATTATCAATATGTCCTCCATATATACCGACTGAATATTGCCTGAAAGTTATTTGTTTATATCAGAAGGGCCAAACTAGGGCCTGATGACATTTGATTTGGCAGTATAACCAAAAAACCAAAAATCAATTTCTAATGTATCAATTTCTAATTTATATTTTAGTTTTAGCTTTTAATTGTTTTATTTTTGCATCGTAAATGAAGAGAATATGTTGAAAATTGAAAAGCACTTTGAGATGCTACTCTTCACTCTTAGTGAACAGACAATAATGATCAGGTTTAGGGTGTGGCACACAGACAAGCATACATTTTAAAAAGTTTGTCAAGAAAATTGTTTTACAAAGTCAATATTGTTTGTGTTTTCATTGTAATGTAAGTTTCGTTGTACAGTAAAATGGTATATTGCAAAGTAAGTTTTTAATTTTATATTTAAATAATAAATGAAGGGAACCAGGGTTAACCACTTTCTCTTTAATCTAATTCATTATAGTTAACGGTTTGATGTAATGAAAAAAAAAATTTTGGCCCATGGTCCTCAGTCAAGATTGATTTTGGCTTTTCATAGTAGAACGTTTGGGTACCTCTGGTTTATATAGTTAAGTATGAACCTCTATAGCTAGCTGTATGTTTTTGTATAGAATAGGACTGGTTAAATACCAAAAGTTTGCCTTCAGTACAATACCGGCAGCGTCTGGTAACATATTAAATTTATAATTTGGCAACAAATAAACAGTCTTATGTGACAAGTGAAATTAAACTAGAGCAGACAGTAGATTCAACAATTAAATGAATTTATTATTAATCTTATAATATTTTTGTATTTAATGGGTTAATATTGGTGAACAGTGTGATGAATGGTTCCCAATTCATTTAAAATCAGACATAACAGAAAAATGACTTGTGATTCAAAGAGAGAATTTATTGAGACCTCATACTGATAGACATTAAACTGCATGTTAACTGATGAAACCACATATTTATTTATTTTATTTATTTATTTATTTAGTCATTTAGCAGACGCTTTTATCCAAAGCGACTTACAAATGAGGACAATAAAAGCAGTCAAAACTAACAAAAGAGCAACAATATATAAGTGCAAATGACAAGTCTCGGTTAGCCTAACGCAGTGCACGTAGCAAGGTGTGTATATATATATATATATATATACATACATATATACATATACACACATACACACACATACATACATACTAACAAACATATATATATGGCATGCCGTTCAGGAAATAATTATATTTATATTATGAAGTTTGAGTGTATGGAACGAGAAGATTGGAACCCGCTCTTGCCAGTCTTAGGGCTTCAACAACTGAAAGCAAGGCAGTCTCGGTTTTGCTCACACAAAATGTCTTTTAAAGTTTAAATAGTTTTTTTTTTTTGTCACATCTGCGCTAATTTAGCAAATAACATTGACATTTATTCATTTAGCAGACACTTTTATCCAAAGTGACTTACATTGCATTCAGTGTATACGTTTTTTAATTTGTGCCATGCTCTGCTGTTTGAACTAATGTAACAACTTTTCCCTACAATTTACTTACATTTGTAACAAAGTATTTTTTTCATAATCCCATCTGGATTTGATGTATTATAAATTACAGAATAAAACAGAATGTCACACTGCCTAAACAATGTCATCATGGTCAGGTAACAAAATTTGCACAACAGTATGGTACTGCTTTGCTTTTTTACTACCATTATATCGCTGAGACTTTGTAGGCTTTTCAGTTTGATCAAAAGACAGAAAGGCCATGTGTTTACAGTATACAGCACGTGTTATATTGGTTTTGTACAGGCCGGACTCTAAGGCAGGGGCTGGAATGAATAAGGAACTCTGCTCAGCTGAGACCGTGCAGGGCTTTGCAGGAACTCTGGTGCCTTTGTTGCTGGAGATCTGGGTGGAGGCAGCAGGTGGAGATCATGTGCAGACAGACAGCGGCCACCTGCTCTCAGCGGAGGCCATGGCTCTTATGTTCCAGATCCTCACCATACTGCAGTTACTGAGAAGAGTTTCCCCGCATAGAGACCAAAAGGACATACTGGTACATAAACTTAAACTGTAGCAGCTGCACTGCTGATGTTATATAGCCACATAAATATCACATAAACCCTGTTTCTGCTGTACCATGCAGGACGCCTGGTTCCGGAATTCATACCTGGCAGATTTCAAACACCACTTCATGAAGAACTTCCCCTATGGCCTGCTGGAGGTGGCAAGACACAAGAAGAAGGCTGACGGAAAGAGGTGACCAAAAAGTCCAAATGTTTTATTAACAGAAACCTAGAGTGTTGATATATGTAAATTAATGAACCACATTTCATTTTTGTGATTCCAGAAGTTTCAAGAACTGTATGTTCTTAATTGTATGTTCTATATTAATTTACATTTCATTGTTGTTGTTTTTTTTTTAGCTTTTTTAATTAATTTTTTATATATTTTATTTAAAGCATGTCACATTTTATAAACAAAACAAACAAATAACCCCTATCTATTCCCCTATACCTATTATATCAGTTGAACAAAAAGTGTAAAATAATAACAAAATAATAACCACGGATCTCTATTTTCGTCTTCAGGATTAGGCAGCAGGTAGCAGCT